GGTTCTTTCAATTTAATTTGAATGCGATTAAATTGAAAGAACCCATGAGAAGCGTAACCGTAAGAGACAGTTTGCCCTCTTAGTTTTCCCTTCTTATTATATGTCGATGGTCTGTCGTCTGTACTCTCATTTTCGGCTAAACGGCTGAACCGATTTAAACCAAATTTGGTACACATATTCATAGGCATAAAAGGGCAGAATCGCACATGCACAAGTGTGCGGGTGCCGGGGTGGTATCTGTGCTAGCAACAACAAATTTGTTTTCAATGAAACCATGGATGTAGAATGTTTCTTTTGGGGTCCTAGAATTCCTGTTGCGCCTTTGATTTATTGCTCGGAAATCAATACCAAATTAAATTAACCGCTTTTCTTAAGTATTTGAGGATGCCCTTGCGAGTTTGTAATTTTGTAGTTTTTCGTTTTAAGATGGTGCGCACATTCGCATTCTTTTAGAATTAAAAAATGTGCTATTGTTTGAGGTTTGTCCGTCCGTTCGCCCGCCCGTCTGTCCATCCGGACCCACTTCTGCGGTTTTGAACTATTTTAGGGGAATTGTCCTAGACTCTTGGACTTATTTTTTTCGCAATAGGTAGTCTATACCTTGATAATGTCTTAATCCTCCCCCCCCCCCCCATTAATTATTTGTTTTTACATGCAACAACCTATTGTTCTCAAAAGGGAGGAGGAGGGGAGATAAACGCACGAACACACGTTCCTTTCTTACACCTTATCAAACCAGGGGTTGAGAGGACTGGCTTTATCCTTCATAGTACCGTTGAGTGAATTTAATTACTCAATGATAGTACAATGAGAGGTTTCAATGAAAGGAATAATTCGTTATAATTCAAGAGTAGATTGTTGGAGGAGGGTACTAAAAAAGAAGATTAAAACGTCTGGAATAAATAGTACAAATGGATTTTATCTTTCATGGTATTCTAATTAGAGGGTCCCAACAAAAGAAAGTGTTCTCTACCAACTACCGCGCTTCTATCTTACTCCTCATAAAAATAGGGGTCGGATTTATCCTTCATGGTATTCAAGTGAAAGGTATCAATGAAGGGAATTAATTTCTACCAACCAAAGTCCTTCTCCTCGGCCCTTTATCGTCATCGGGTATAATTACTTATAATTCAAGAGCGGATTGTTGGAGGAAGGTAAACAATTAGATAATAATCGACTCAATAATACAAAACCTTCCCCATGTTAATTGTTTAATTTGACTGTGTAAAGAATTATGGATTACTACATGTTTCGATGGTCACACAGTTTTTTTAAAATGTAATTTGCCTAATTTTATTTAGTAATTAAGCCAAATGGGCCGTTTCTCAGAATTTGAGTTTCTTGTTAGTTTATACGTAGGATAAGCTGTACGTAATACTGTAATCTTATTCGATTTTAACTTTCGACATTTCAGTAAATTGTTTTTCCCCCGATGAAGTAAAACAAGTTTTATGAAATATTAGGTCGAACAATAAAAAGTTTGTAAGTCATCGTATGTGTATGATCTCCTTATAAAGTAAAAACGCTATAAATCCGCTTAGAGATCGAAGAAATTTTCCGGAAATTCAATCGAAGGTTGTGTCATTGAGTCGATTATTATCTAAAGATCAGGACGTCTGAGAGAAATATACCTATCTAATGGTAATATTAAATCATTAAAAACGAACGAGTACCCACAAAGGCAAAATGAATTTCTGGACGAGACAGATCTATTGGTAAAGTCGAAACGAATATCTTGAAAACGAAGTATCGGAAGAGGGTACTCATAAACGGTAAGAGGAACGTCTGGACGAGACACATCTACTGGTAATGTCAAAACTTTCAGTACAAATACCTGCAGAACGGAGTGTCGGAGGAGGGTACTCTCAAAGGACGGAAAGATGGTCTAAACGAGACACATCTCCAGTCTCCTGGCAATGAGAAAATTTAATTGTGAATATCTCGAAAATGTTTTAGAAAAGTACGTACCTATAAAGGGAAAAACAATATTTAGGAGAATTTCTCTAAGGACTTAATTCTTCTTGCATTATATAGCGTAGATTTTGAATGTATGATGCCAAGCGGCCTTTAAAAGTTTATCTGTCTCCTCTCCATTAATCATCTAACAAGAAGGTACACATCGATAAATAAAGCATACTTAAAAAAATGCGCTTTTCTGGATAAGATTTATGCACAATGTATACTTGCTTAATATCTTAACCAAACGTTGCATTTTACGTATACCAAAGCTTAGATTACAAACCGACGGACAGAATTCCCATGGGCGTTTGCTGTACTGCAAGTTTTGAATGGGGTTTGTATCAACTCTAAAAATCATTATGCGGGTCACTCTGTAATTGGGCGCAAGCCTGTTGAGGGCCCAGAACAAGAGAGGGATAATAAATAAATGTAAGAATCCTCCGTTTTTTAAGGGGTAACTTTTCGTAATGCGAAGTTTACATATGCTAAACTCAAACTAGAACCTCCCCGATTAAATCGTGTAAAGTTTTGGTGTAAAATTTTTTAAAGCTCAAACCTACTAATTTTTGTAAATGCATATTCGATTTTTTTATAAAACTAACAATGTTTTTAAGGTGATTGTGATTGGATGTTTTTTCAAATAACAATGTCGGCTGACAAGATTAGTTAAGTAAGCCGGCCCGTGTAGCGCAGTTCAGTGGAAGCTCGACTGCGGTACAGGGTCCCTGGTTCGAATCCGGGTTCGGGCATGGATATTTGTAAATGTATAGTGGGTTGGGTTGGTAGAGCAGCCTCGGCTGAAACCCCGCCCACTTAAAAATAAAGGCAAAATAACATATAAAAAGTAAAAAATAAGTATGCTTTATATTACCGGCCGTTAATCAAACACCACGGGGATCTCGGAAACCGTAAGAGATTTGGCAGTTGCGTATTTTGATGCTTAACAAAATGCAGTTTTGACACTGAAAAAATTCCAACTACTTTCGGAGATATCATGAAAAAAACTAAATTTTGCAAAATCGTTTTTATTTTTTACTGATATTATTTAAAAACATATTTCAAAATAAATCACAGTATTATGCCCACTTTTTTTCCCTCTACAAGGTGCTAGTTTTACATTTTTAAGTCTAACGTTTCGTCTCCAGTTAACTATCATCAACTTCGTTTTTTCTTATGGAAGTTATTTTTATTTTTTATGCCATTTGATAGAGCATTTTTTTCTTATTTCAAAAATGCATGTATCACTAAAAATAACACTAAAAGATTACATTTTTCGAAAATATCTCGGCATTAATTGCCAAATTGGAATCTGTACAGCGTGGCTCAAATTCGTGGATCTCCGTAACGAGATACGATGTAGGTTGCCCCTTTTTGTGACTAAAAAAGACGCATTTGGAATTTTTAAAAATCTGTAAAAATAACTGAGATATCAACGAAAAACTGAAAATGTCAAATTTCGTTTGCATTTTCCCTAGCTTAAGCGGTCGGAAATGGACGGTTCCCGTTAGCACCTACCATGGGCACCTTTTTCAAAGTATCTGACTCTGTTTTCGCAAGTTCCATAAAACGCTAGAGAAGCTACAGGCCACTGTTGCTTATTTCTTATGGACGCCATATCACTTCTAGTGCACATATATTGGCTATTTTATTTATTTCTTTTGATCAAATCAAATTTTCAAGAAGATTTTTATATTCGTCAATCGCAATAAATTTGACTCCCTGTTTTTTTGGTCGCCCTACTTTTTAACCTACTCAGCTTGTCTGTAATCCCACCCCTGGTGGTCACATGGGCGTTTTTAAAATTGGAATTACTTTCCCATTAGCATTTTCACAGGGAAAATACCACGTTCTGATATTATGCCTTATTTTGAAAGGAAATTGATCGTATTTATTACTGAAAGAACAAATGAGCAGAATTGATTTATTATTTAATTTTGCCGTTGCTGTTTATCAGGTTTATTAAATGGCTTTCTGGAATACAGAAAACAAATGATTATTTATAGCACCGCTTTTACTGGAATATTATTTCTCACATTTCAATTGTAACTGCAATAATTAAATTCGAATAAATGATTAAGTTAATTTGTTGTAATCAATATAGTAATGCAATTCCATAAAGTAAGCTTTCCTTCCAGTGCTTACGCGTGCCAATCCAGCCGGTTCATTTGGAAACTGGTAAAAAACACCCTAAAAAGTGAACATGAATCGATTAGATCAACTCTACGCTAATGTCAGTAGTAAGGGCAAGTTCACGGCCTTTTTACGTCAATGCAGTAGGAGTAATTCATAAAATATACCCTAGACACGCGAGGTCGAAATCGCAACCTTTTCTTCCAAAAGGCACGAAGCATCAAATTATTTTCGCCATTTCCACACACACTGCTACACCTCAACGTGATTTATAAAAAAAAATACTTCACCAGATTTATTGCAAAAAAAAACGTTCTAAAAATAAATATCGACCGACTCAAACAAAATTGTAATTTAAAGGACAAGGTTTTTGGTCGCTTATACATTTTTAATCGGTTATTGCTATTGGCCTTAACCTTTACTTTTGGCCTGTTACAACATTGCATAATTTCGTTATCAAAAACGTGCGATAATCGTAATTTTAATTAATGGGCGCGAGCCTCCTGCCCTGTTAAGGTTTTTGAGCCATATTTCGAAAACGGCGCTGACTCATTGAGTAACCACGCGTGAATGTCGGAGATTTTGCCCCGCGATTTCTGAACTGATCAGACGTTTCGTATTTCTAATGCAGATTACCTTATCGCATTTCCACTTTATTTTCCTTTACAATCATGAGCGTTCTAAGAGAAAACGTGATGTCATGTAATATCACAAATTACACTTTATTGTATCCAAGGCTGCAAAAATCATTTGTTTATAACCGTCCATTATATAGAAGAGATTGCATCACGATCAACTAACCGAGTAATGGGTGATTTTTTTTTCTTAGCAAGCTTATTGATTAATGGAGTGCAGCGATCTTAATTGGTCGTTAATTTTAAATTATATTATCTATAAATATGGGTACTTACCGAGATGAGACAGACCGGATAGTTCGGAATCTGTAATAAAACGTAATTATAGAATTGTCGTTAATTTATAAATATCGTAAAAAAACTTTATGGTTTTGGCGGCGGCGGCGTGTTCTCGAAAAGAGGACAATTGTTCAATTTGCGTATATGCATGTAAAACACCAAAAGCATTATGCAAGCATGACTGTTGGAATAAGTGTTTGATCTTTTATTTGATGATTACTGAGCCATGGCATCCTTTGCCAATTGTAATGTAATAATTCGGGTATCTATTCATTTTAGCGCCGGTAATGGTAATAATCCAACGCCAATTGACAGGCACTTCAATGGAGAATAGAGGTGCCAGTAGTTGAAGATTTCGCAAAAACCGATGATAGTTCACTGAAACCGTGTATGGCCATGACTTGGTGGTCACCATGGCAACAAAGTTAAACTGTTTTTAACCGCTGGTGACATTCGAGAAAAATAATTGAGCACTATTTTCTCCATTTTTGATGGCGTTTGAAAAAAAAAGTTGTATGAATGCCACCCATACAAAAAATAATTGTGTTTAAATCAGTACCTACTTACACGAGGGGCTGAAATATTTCGAAAAAGGCATCTCCGAAATATGAACATTTCCATCGTACAATAATTTTTTCAGTTTAGAGCAAAGGGTCAATACTTTTACCCCGCAGATTGTAAACATGTTTGTTTGACAAATAAAATGTTAAATTATTCCCGTCTCTGTCTTTTATCTCGTCTTTTGGTTAAAAGTAAAGATTCCCAAATGTAAATAATATAATATGTAGTTGTAAACAAATACCTTAGTTACGTTTTCTGATACAATGTCAGTTCTTGTCCTTTTTTATTAAGCAAATCAAGTATATTTTAGAAAAGGAATGTAAGTATTCAATAGAGGACCATTAGGAAACATATTTCACCTTCCACATTCAAAAAACACCTTCACGCAATTGGCAATGTAAATGTATGACGTATGGAACATCGAATAAAAAGTCAACAAATAGACACCTAGCATCAAGGTGGTCTTTTAATATCCCATGGAACCATTCGTTTATATAAGTTGGATGAAATTAACAAATAACGAGCTTAATGTTTCTATTGCAAAAGACTTTAAGTAATAAAGGTTTTGAGTTTGATGGGTATTTAATATGAACAAAAAATATAAGCAAATAAAATCAAGAATCGATTATAGGACATTGGGTTGTGACAATTGCGAATGAACCAGCAACGACTCAATCTATAATGCAATTCTTGTGCCAAAAATTATAGTGAAAGGTTCAATCGACTAATCACTTGTAAGATGAAGTCTTTTGGTATAGATATGTGACTATTTGAAGTCGATTCCAGATTGACACTGTTACGTAAAAAAAATATTTGGTCAAAATTACAGGCTAAAACTAAAAAGGATTGGGGTCGAACGTCAATTACAAAGTATAGAATTTTAAAAAAATCTCTCGATCTATCCTTTTTAATTTAATTACCAGTGCAATTGCTAAGATTTTTGAGAATATCATCGCTCAAAGATCAGCGCTTGAAGTTACTTATCGACAACAGAAATTTAAAACGAGAATTCTTATTCGACAGACTCTAAATAAAATCAAGAAGTATAAAAAAAATGGAAGCCATTACAAAAATCAAAGGTTCCCAAAATATAATGGAAATCAAATCAGAATGGCTAGGAAAATTCACTACAAATGAATCATGAATTCTACGCTGCCTTCCTGAAAAAAATAAAAACTTTTAATGGGATGCCAAATGTGAGTCAGTGATTATTTCTGAAGACATGGGAAGAGTACGGTAACGCCCTACCCGAGTGCAATTCCGTGATAAAAAGATCCAAAAGAATGTGCAATTTCGGGGGAGGAATTGAGAATTTTTTGAAACCCCAATTGAAAATCATGAAGTTTGAACACAGTGAAATTAAAAATGCGGTCTATAAACAAAAGGATAAATAAATGTAGAAATCATTAAAAAAATGTATCCACATATACGAAAATGGTAAAAAGGATTTACAATGCCTGTCTAAAAAATGGATATTTTCCGAAGAAGGCAGGTGATCATTGACATTTTTTGGACCCCTCCAATTATAGGCCAATAATGTTACTGAACTGCTTCGGAAAGATTCTAGGAAAACTAATAATTGATAGAATAAATTACAAATTAGGAAAAGAAACTTAATTAAATAACAAGCAATTTGGATTCAGTGGGGAGAATCAACAGAAGACACCATCATGGAACTTATTAATATAGTAAAAAAAATCAAATAAAAAATACGTCTTGGCAATAACAATTGACATAAAGGGAACCTTTGATAATTTATGGCGGCCATCAATCATGTTTGAATTAAAAAATGAAAATGTGATAGTTATATAGCCATCTAGAAAATCGAACAACATGTTACGCGAACAAATACCAAAGAATTACAAAGGAAAAGCAAAACAACAAATTACAATGGCCGAGAAAATTAAATATCTAGGCATCATTACACAGGAAAGACTGCATTAACAACAATGGCAGGCGTAATGCCTATAAATATTAGAATACAACTAAAAGAACAAAATTTTACTATAGGAAAGCATTTAGATATTCAATTCGCAAATAGGACAATTCAATCCAATGAATATGAGAAGAGAAAATTAAGGAAGGATTATTTATAATCATCCGACGATAGCTTTTAAACTTAATGAAGCAACCAATAAAAAGTAAATAATAACTATAAAAATAAGAATATTTAAACAATTGGCAAAACGATTGGACAAATTCAGACAAAGATAGATAAACATAAAAGAAATAGTACAGTGGAAGAATTGAGTTCCGAATAGAGGAACTACCTACATTATAACTACGGTCATCATCTAATATACGACTGCGAAAATTTCATAAATAAACGAAACGAATATAAAACAACTTTTGACACAAAAATATAATAACGTGACCACTTGGAAAAAAATGTTTAAGCAAAAATTCAAGGGGATTATTTGGAAGTCAGAAGTCAGAAAGTCAAATTAAAGCAATATATTGGAAAGGAAACATTAAATTAAAATTTTTGCAGGGACCTCCACGCAGTTAGGGACGGGCAACGAAGTCTAGGCAACCCTATTCAGGGAAATAAAAATCCTAGATACGGTCAACTCTTGCATACCTATACAAATTAAAAAGATCAGCAATAAAACTTAACTGCCAAACGCTTGGACCGATTCGGTTCAAACTTTGCACAGTTGACCTCAGAGGCGGAGTGGTAACCTTTAAGCGGCCCGGGGAAAGTATTTATCGGCCCGTTTTTTAGAATTTTATTGGGAGTCGCGGGTTAACATTAGTTCTACAGAAATAGTCTCTTTAATGTCTTGAGCAGTATCAAGGGGTATATAATTTTGCCTTGATAACTTGTTCTGAAATTTGACGTTTTATTACTTAAATTTTGTATTATTGTGTAATTATATTGACCGTTGGTTTTGATTGTCCTCGTCTTGGCTTTCCCGGATGCTCTTTCTTTGTTATTCACAAATGACGCTGTTGATATGTGAATTTAGCAATGGGTCGAATTTTTTTAACAATAAAATTGGTTCCAAGAAATTACCATGGTGCGTAAATACATTGTTTACCACGGTACAGACGGCTTGGCCTCTGTACCGCAGTATAGAATGTTCCTGAAATTACGCACAAATCTCATCTACACTTACTGTGCTAGAAAAGACAGAAAATAATGTTAATAAATTGTTTTTGGCGGCCCATCAGTTGACATTTATACCGGCCCATCGGGAAATCTCCCGATCGCTCGACTGGCCAGTCCCTGGTTGACCTACATGTAACAAGCCCATTGAAAATGGATCAATCCAATGACCCCGTAGGGTCAAACCGAGATGGTCTGTCGCTTTTTTAGATCCGCTTTAGGGGTTATTATATCCGAGACGGACTCCTATTCTTTGGTATTTACTATAATTAGGGAATGCAATACCGGGATCGCGGGATCCCGAAATACCGGGATCCCGCAGCATTCTTGCGGGATTAATCCCGCACATAAATGGAGCGGGATCCCGCGGGATTTGCGGGACTGTGGAATTTGTCGACCAAGCGGACGATTCTGTTTACTTTGTTAATGAAACGCATAACGGAGAAGTTATTTTTTAAATAATTGTTAAACTTTTTTCGTTAAAAATATACTATAATTTTTGAGGCACTTTAGAAGTTCACCTTTTTGTGCTTTACAGGTGAGGTTTTTTTGAGTTCTAAGTTAGGCTAAAGGTACTTTTTTGTTAAATATTGTAATAATTAGCGATTTATTTTAATACAGAAGTTAACCACACAGAATTGCTTATTTGCCAATTTATTTAAAATTTTGCGGGATCCCGTAAATACCGGGATCCCACGGGATTAACATCTAACAATCCCGCAAATACCGGGATTGAGATTTTGTTGCGGGATTGCATTCCCTAACTATAATAGATGTCATATTTCGGTAATTATTGTTCTTAGACTCGTTAAAAAGGGTAGAAAACGCACTATATTTTATTTAATATAAATGATTACTATATCTCTAGCGATTCCTCTACTAATTCTAAATAATTACTTGAAATTCGCCTTGTCGGTAGGTTTTCTTGTCTCAGTAACGGTGATCTTTAACGTAAATAAGTGTTCTAATATCATGTGTTCCGTTTTTTTAATTATCTTTCTAAGATGGCAACAATCGGAGAAGTAGTTATAGAGATACGGCACTATTCCCGTGTAACGGTAGCTTCGAATTTGATGACGTCACAAAAGTGGAAGTTATGAGAGAAAGTTTGGCTCCCCTTCCAAAATTGGTTAAATGTACCCAACCAACAGTTCCAGATGGGAGGTAATGCATCTACATCTGAAAAAAGATTATGCTCTATATTCAATGTGGAATATAGACGTAAATAACGAAAATACAAAAAAGTGCATACCATCTATTTTATACAAAATTTTATTATCTTTCTTTTTTTATATGAAACTTTACTTGCTAGAATGCACGGTTACCGAGATATCAGCGAAAAAGTGATTTGGAGCAC